TCCTGATCTAGTGGATTTTTTTTTACGAGTCAGAATTCCATCTGGTATTCATGTAGCATTACTTTATTTTATTCTAAGTAAAGGATTCTTCTATCCAAATTTCCCAGGGCTGGACTCAATTTTGATGAACAGTTGCAAATTCAATATGTAAGGAGAATCAAAATCTTTAAAATATTGAAGAGATGGTAGTAATGGCAAACATGAGCTCATTTTCATGAGCTGTAGGTCTTCCCAGCTATTCTTCTACTCTGGATTTCTGGTATCCAGACAAGTCTAACCTTTCCTCTGAATGAGGCAGCTTACCAGAGGCTGTGTATGTAGCCTTTTAAGTTCCAGAGCGTAAGGAACACAGATAAGTCTCACCTTTAACTGCCAGTCAAAATCCTGTAGCTGAGCAGAGGAGATTGCATTTACGCTTTCTATCAGTGCATGCCTGATTTCTTCCTTTCTGCCTTTCAAGCATTTCATGATTGCTTCCTGATAGCTTGAGCTCAATTCATTCAACTGCTGAACAGCCTTCAAATATCAGTAAAAAGAGTTTTAATTAAGAAGCAAAAAAGGTTATATTTACAATAGAAAATAGATGTATTGGGTAAAAAGCCAAAACAGTAACTGCTACCTGGAGTTACTTTCAGTTTATGCCCTTGCCACTGGGTCACAATGGCAGACCATGAAGATAAGCAACTACCAAAGCACCCTCAGAAACACTGGCATTTTTATTCACTAGAAAGCCTTGTTTATATACTAGAGAAATGTGTCAAGTGTTTATTCACTGTTGCTAATAATGATTAAGTTGAATACTCTTGAGCAGGAATCTGCAACCTATGTCTCTCAAGCCAAATATGGCTCTTGTCATTCCCAAAATACATGCAACTTTTTAAATTAAAATGAAAAATGAATTCCAATTTTTAAATACATGTAAAACTCATGTAGCTTGAATGCATGCATAAACCTAAATTTGACCAGTTATGATGTAAACTTCAAAGAAATGTGCAAAAAGATGCAGCAGCAGAAGTCCCATTAAATAAGTCTGTGAGAACAATGTTTCATATATTAATCATGTCAATTATTAATAATATTAGGTTGAATGCAAATGGGCATTCTTACACAGCTCTTCATTCTGAATTTATGTAGTTTGGCTCTGGCTTGAAAAGCTTGCCAACCCCTGCTCTTGAGGCTTGAAGAGTTCAAGGAAGTTTCCCCATTAATGCCTTTTTCCCCACAGATTTTCCCCATTTGTGTCTGTATGGTATGTAAACGAACTAGTCATGTTTATCTCTTTGTGTACTAGCATCACAACTGTAGATTATACATGAGCAGGATTCGACAAACTATACAATCTACTCGCCTGTGGAGAGTAGATTTCAGCCGCACGCCCCATTCATTCGCGGTGCGTGCATGTGCAATGTGGCTCTTGCGCATGCGTAGTACGGGACTAGTGAGTGGTTTTCACCGCCACGTGTCAAGCCCTGTACATGAGTGATATTGTATTCAAACACAGACTAAAGAATGGTCTCTCAAGAGGATATGATTTAGTAGTTAAGATGCACTTCTTAAAAGAAAAGCTCCAGTCAGAATCTATTGAGGTACCCTTAAAAAAGGTAACTCTCCCAGTGCTAGTTGGAAAGGACATACTGTTTATCTGTCACTCAGCTACCCCCATACACTTTTGAGCTAGCATTCTGGTTGCTTCCTCCCTGCTATCTATAAAATGAAATTATTAAATACTTAACTGTATTTATGAGAGCCTACAACTTTTCCTCAAAGTTAGGTACACTAGGTCTTTCACAATATCAATACCTCCACCTCATTTCTGCTCAGCCTCTCAATAGAATTAGGGATGTTAACTGACTAGTCAATGGGATTTCCATTAACTATTAGATTATTCTAAAAAACACCTCTGCCTTTGAACTGCAGCAAGAGCCCTCCTGCGTTCTTGCTAAAGTTCAAAAGCAGAAGCCCCACATGGAACATTTCAAAAGCAGAATCACAGCAGAAGCAGTGCAAGCAGAGACTGCTTTAGTCCCCTCCCACGCGGTTTCCACTGTGCCTCTACCTCCACTGTCCCCCGTGGAGATGGTGCTGGGGGGAACCGGCTTCTAAGCCAGCTCCCCCGCTCCAGCACTGGCTACTGCTCCCCCCCTTACTGTCTCTTTCTGATAGATCTGGCCTATTCTATTACTACCCAGATCCTATAGTTATCATATGAACCCCTACTTAAAATATATATTTCAAGATAGAACGGCAATAGCACTAGACTTGATAACAGAGTCTCAAATCTAGTCAATGATAGTCCCACCTCTTCTTCTGACAGATTTTTTCCAACTGTAGTTTTGAAGTATGATGTTGATTCTTCTAAAACCTCCATCCATTCTGTCAAATTCCAAACATTGCCATAATCTTGATATCGAGAATATGCACGGCCACATATACCATCTACTACCTGATGAAGGAACTGGGGGGAAAAGAAAACCACAGCTTTTATGGTCTCGCACAAGAAGAAAGCTTCAGTAGACATTTCAGGTATTACTGATGCCTCAGCAGCTGGATACTGAATGAAAGCCATCCCACTCTGGTGTAAAGGCATAATGTAAAGCCAGAAGGATCATATTTTGAAAAAATGTTACAAATTAAAAAATTAAGAGATCCTGACTAAAGGTGATCCTTAAACATTCACACAATGCTTTTCATGAGGAGTTACGTTTAATTACCATGAATTATGCATCAAGCCTCTATCTAGATTTTTTTTCTTCATTTCCCATCTTCTGTTATGTACTACAGGCAGTCCCCGAGTTACGCGGATCTGACTTACGTCGGATCCGCAGTTACGAATGGGGCCCTCCCTCTCCCTGGTCTCCAGCAGACCAGGGAGAGGAAGCAAAGCGGCGGAACACACAGGCAGCGGACAGCCCAGACGCGGACAGCCCAGACCAGGGGGACGGGGAGCAAAGCAGAGCAAAGCCACCGAGCCCGAGGGCAGCAGGACAGCCACGGCGCGTCTGGGCTGTGCCGCTGCCCCCGT